TACAGGGCGCTTACCCAGAGACACACACACACACAGAGAAAGCAAGAAACCACCCCCGGGGGGGATGGCCGTGCCTCAGTCTCTTCTCCATTCTCCTCAAAATTTCGGGCGTGCATGCCCGGAGTGAGTTTTAAGCTGCCGGGTCTGGACTCGAACCACAGTCAACTATGTGGAAGTCCAGAGATGTAACCATTACACTATCTGCTGGTCCCCTTACAGCAAATTTAAAGAAAATAATATAAAATTATTCTTCTTTAAAAAGTTGGAACCAGCAGTTAGCATAATGGCTATGTCGCTGGACTCCCACGTAGTCGACCGCGGTTTCCGTCCCGGACCCGGTGGCTTAAAACTCACGCCGGGCGCGTGTGCGTGCGTGCCCAAGATCCCGAGAGGAGAATGGAGGAGAAGGGATTGCGGCGTGACCATCCCCCCTGGGGGGTGATTTCTCGCTGTCTGGCGAACGCATGCGCCCTATAGCAAAAACCTCTAAAAAAAAAAAAAAAAAAAAAGTTGAAAGTAAGTTCACCTCACAAGCTAACAATTCCAAATCCACTGCTAGAAATCTCCCTAGCAGAGATGAAAATATGCATATGCAAACATACGTGAATGTGCAGAGCGTCATTATTCACAGTAAAAAATGTTGGCACGCCACATATCTACCAGCCGGTGAGTGGGTCAACAGGTGTGATTCAGCCAGCCGCCAAAGGGGACTCTAAAGAACGAATAAAGGAGCCAAGGACGGCAATGCCACAACACGGAGGGACCTTCGTGCCAAGTGAAAAAGGCCCAGTGCAAAAGACTGGAAATTCTATGAGCCTTTGTAAGAGAAATTTCTAGAAAGAGCATTTTGAGAGCAGACCAACGTGGTTGCCTAAGGCAGAATTAACTGCAAAGGACCACGAGGAACTTCTGGGCTGATGGGAATGTTCAAAACTGATGGCCGTGCTGGCAGTTCGACCATAAATTAACGGAAACGCCCAGTTGTGCATTCACAATGGTGCATTTTATAGTGCACCAATTACACCTTCAGCAAACTTTGTTAAAAACTTCCATTACAGCGAGGTCTTAGGAGTGCCTGTCACAGTGCCGGCTGACAGCCCACACTTCTGACTCCAGCACGGTGAGCTCTAGACGCTCCGCATGTTTGAAAACTGAACATGCTACTTTCAAAGGCCGCCGAGTATGCCCATTGCCAAGGCTCACGGATAAAGTACTGCTTTCAGCTCTAGGCCATGTCACTGGGACAGAACCAGCGTCTACCGCGTATGGAGCACTGTCTCTTAGCTCGCTCATCCTCTAACCTCACGGTATCTCTGTCTGTAAAGATGGCTCGCTTGGCACTGCCCACTGCCCAAGCTTTCCACTAGATACCAAGTTTTCTCAATAATTCATGCACTGGAATAGGGTTTTAATATTAATATTGAACATGTTTAAATACATACACGTCATTTCTAAATACAAAATCGGTATTCTCCTCTGTCTCCTTCATTTGCCCATTCAACCACACAGCGCACGCTGCCCCTGGTAAGTCTCCAGCATGTCACTGTTCCAGCTCGGACTGTTTTCACGCTACTCCCGGTCAACATCCTCCTGTTTTTAATTTATTCGACGGTTCTTTTCACCCCATGCTGCCTTCTATGCTCACATGTACACTGCAGTCAGATCCCACTGCTCTCCGTTTCTCTCACGGATTTGTCAAAAGCTTATGTTCCCTATAAGACAGCCATTTAAAAAGGGTGGTTTTTTTTTTTTGGAGAGGTTTTCACTGTAGGGCGCGTGCGCTCGCCAGATAGAGAGAGACATAGAGACAGAAAGCGAGAAATCACCCCCCAGGGGGGATGGTCATGCGCAATCCCTTCTCCTCCATTCTCCTCTCGGGATCTTGGGCACGCACGCACACGCGCCCGGCGTGAGTTTTAAGCCACCGGGTCCGGGACTCAAACTGCGGTCGACTACGTGGGAGTCCAGCGACATAGCCATTATGCTAACTGCTGGTCCCGCCCATTTAAAAAGTTTTGAACTGTTTTCTCCAAACCAAATTTCAGACAAAACACTAATAACCTGTGGAAAGCGAAGATGCAGTGGAAGAGACCCGGCCTGTGATGCCCCAAATTCATGAAAGACAGCCGTCTCATTATGGGGCTTCAAAGCCAACGCTCTAAGTTATACGCTACATTCTGATTCCCGCACAACTACAAAGGACACTGCAAAAACTTCAACACTTGCAGGAGAAGAGAAACGGATAACATACTTATATTTTTAAAGCTTTAAGGGCTGACCCTGTAACACAGTAGTTAAGGGAGCCAAATCCCACACGGCTGACCGGGTTAAATCTCAGCCTTGAAGCTTCAAAACAAGCCAGGCACGCGTGCTCCAAACCCCTATGGGATGCAGAGATGGAGGAGAAGGGGTTACAGCCCGTCTGTACCCGGGGAAGGGAGGGCGCTTCCTTGCTCTCAGGTGAGCACACCCTGCGGTGGTTAAAAAGAAAAAAAATCTTACTTTAAAAATATTAATTAAAAAAATGGGTAACTACAAAATAATGTTTTCAATAATTTCCCTGTAAAATTCCATAAATACATTACTTTTGGGGAAATTCCATTTACTATAAAGCCTGTACAGCTTTTGCCATAACTTCATTTATGAGACTAAAAAAGAAGAAAAAGAACCAAAGAGAAGTCAAAAGCCACGTGAACGGGAAACACTGAACCTAGTAAGCTGTTAAACGATCTGGTCAGTAGGAACGCCACTTCCCAAGAGGCGGTAAGAAAATCAGATGGTAAGAAATAAAGCCAGCATGTTAAGTATATTATAAGTTTAAAAACAGCTCTACCTGCCTCGAGAGTCAGGTACAAATAAAGCAGATGTTCAACCAAAATGGCAACAATTACTATGGTGACTCAGAGAAAGGGATTCGCACTATTACGAATTTTCAAATTCATATTAGCTGTAAAATATAAACCCTCTCCCCTCATAAATCAAAGGTAAATGTTATGATAATTTCACTTTTAAATAAAATTAGATATTGGTATCACTGCAAAAATAGAGGCAATAGAATAGTTCAGAAATATACTCAAGTTTATAATCAATTAAATTATGAGTCATAATTTGTACCCTAATTATCACATTAAGTAGAAATCACAATTCAGGTTTTGGGTCCTCAGTTATTAAGATATTATGTTAAATAGTTCATATTTAAAAACATTTTGTCATTACATTACCAAATTTGATAAAATCTTATCAAAACACCTACATACTCAGTATAAATTATGTTAAAAAAGCATAAGGTAACATTTAAAGAAAGCTGCTGAGGTGCCAGGTCCGTGTTTTCTATTACGTATACACAACACTGAGAACTACAGAGATTAATTCTGCTGAAAGTCGATTCCATTTTACAAAGGCATACCTTGTGAACCATGTTAAATATCTCCAGGACCGACTTTCCTTTTTATTCCCAAATTCTTTCATTAGATCTCTTTGTCACTCATATGTGAAAATGATCGGTTTACAATACGTAGTCTTAATAGTTACATGTTTAAAAACCTAAGCAAAGTGCACATTCAACTAGCTAATCTATTCAAATTTGATTCTCATCAAATAAAAATAAATAAATACTCCATTCACTTAAATCTTTCTGAGGAAAAAAGGCATACCTGCTTAAATAAGAATTCCCCATTAAGGGCATTATGTAAGTGATTTTCCAAGTTATTTTGTCGAGTAAATTCACTTTCTCTCCTTAAATTTTTAAGTCTAACGAAGAACACACACTTACAATGCCACATCACACAAATACAGTATCGTCAGTTAAAGCAGCCCAGTACAGATGTAAACATTTAAAATATTTTCAATAGTAAACAAGGGTTGGCATGTCTTTTCTCCCCAAAACTTGACATTTATAATGTTCTTCCCATGAACTATTATTCTTCCTAGAATAGTTTTCAGGTATACTTCAGTCTTAAAAACAAAACAAAACAAAAACCACTGGAATAATATGTGAAAAGATTTAGTCAAGGCAATTTCACGGAAGCTTTTATTGCCTCTGTTGGTAATATGACAGGGATTGTAAGAAACAATTGAACTTACAGAGATACGCAGATGATATTCACTAAAGGTAATCTTTCTCAAGTATTTTATATGTGGGCACTTCTAATTTTATACATTTTACTATTTAGAAAGCGTTACATTTTAAATGTGTACCTGTTCTGACATTTGGCAAAAGAGAAACTGTACCTGTGGTTCAGTTTAAAACATACCAGCATGGGGAATTTGTCAGAATGAAGACAGAAACACAAATTAAAGCAATTCAAGTGTGTGTGTGTGTGTGTGTGTGTGTGTGAGTGTGTATGTGTCTCTCTCCCTTTGCCAATCTCTCTCTCTTTCACACACACACACACACACACACACAGCCATACATACATATAAGCATTTTTAGCACAAAATCCTTCCCGTAACAGACATTCATCCTCAGAATAATCACACCACATCAAATCAGTCTTCTTTTCAGCCCTAGAAATAGTTTTAATTCTAAGATGCCATCATAGTGAACAATCTTACCTTTTATGCTACATAATTATATTCAAAGCTTTATGTATTTTTGTTTATAATTACATAGTAATTATAAATGTTTAGTACCAAACTGATGACAAACACTATTTTGTTGAAAAGGTCTTGCATTTAAAAGGAAAAATCTGTAAAACCCCAAGGCACTAGGCCATAAACCAATATTAGGCTTTTATGAAAAACAATTTATATTGAAAAAAAAAAAAACAAACCCTAATGGGATCTCATTTCAAAACACAGCATACTTGAATTAACCAATCTGAAAAAATATCATAACTCAAAATCTTTAAGACAGAAAACAAAACAGTGTGTGTCTATATATCTCATTACATTATCAAATACACACACACACGTATGTGTATATATGTGTGTATATACATCTTTTTTAAATTTTTCATAATTGAACTTCCTCTTATAGTTATAAAAATGAAATCAGGAAATACTGAAAGCAGCAGAGTTATTTTTTTCTTTTTCTTTTAATAACCAATTCCGGCAACCTAAATAGAAAATTTCAAATTTTCTTTCAGTAGAATTGCATTCTTGAATTAAAGTTATGATTGGAATATTACTATAATATCTAGGGAGAAATCTTCTTTCTAGTCAATCTCGAAATCATGTAAATAAGCAGTTTTAACATTATTGTTTCTTAAAATCACTGCCTTAATGCTATTCTGAAGTACATTCCCTTTTCATATTAATATGAAACCTTAGTGAGAGCCTCAAGATACTGAGCAAAATCTATTCCTATGAAAGATCAGTCATCCAACACTTGAAGTTTTGTATTTTTAACCTGCCCTATAGAAATGTTTAAAAAGGCAATAAACCTCTTCTTCACATGCTAGTAAGTGAACAGACATGAGCATTTCCAGCATGAAAGCAGTTCATTAGTCTTGTAATGAAAAAAAAAGACACATGAGACAGCATTCTGCTTTGATGTGAAAACTAAGCTAATCTGAGTGAGACAGAGAATAAAGACTTTAGATAATTTACGAAAGTAGAGCCAGATTGGTATTTGCATCAAGTGTATGCTTGTTCAAATATCTTTGCTTCTGAAGTAAATATTTGGCAATCACAATGATTAGAAGCTAAAGTAATTTCAACAAAATAAGAAGTCATCAAAAACGGACTATTTGTCTGAAAGAGCAGTACCTGTATATTATAAAGGTTGAACTTCATGGCTCATCACAACCACTTGCAAATTTTAATTCCTACTATCTTCTTATAAATTAAGAGAATTTCATTTGTTTTCCATAGTTCGATGACCCCCCAGAAACCCACCAAAAACAAAAAACCAAAAAACAAACCAAAATAAAACAAAAAAATAAGCCCCCATGCCTAAATTTAGAATATTGTATTGTGTAGCAATCCAAAACATTCAAAACAAATTAAATAGTTTAACTTATTTGACAGGCACAGGAGCATTTCAAAAGCGCAGTGAAACCCGGTGACGTGGCGAGTAATGGACACGGGAGTGGGCTGACATTACGCAGACATTTGCTAAATAAAGACTCCTGCAGGACTGGCGATAAACACGGGTCAGGTCAGTGCAGAGAAGTTCTGTGGAACCTTTGGAAATCAAGAGTCTAAACACAATACATTTTTCAGGTAGGCACTGAGTTATCCTAAAAATGTTTTACGTTGGTTATTTTGAAATTTTTTTCATCAGATACTCTACTCATATCAACAATGCATGTGATTTGCCAGGCAAAAAAAAGAAAAAGGAAAAAACAAATCCCCCCAAACCAAAACACCATTTCAGATCCGGTACACTTAAATACATCACTCTCACTGGAAGTGCTGTCAGCATAGTCTTTGCAACTAGCCCAAAGCATATATTTAAGAAGTTTTTATAAATTGTTTGTGATGTTCATATGTTTAATTCTTAGGCCAAACTGTTTTCTGATGAAGACAGCATTGTGCTTTATGCCAGAATGGAAACCTCAAAATAATCACCATAAAGCTTCTAAGACTTATGGGAGAATAAGCTAGGATGGTCCACAGATATAAGATGAAATCCACAATGTCGGAATTATAAATGTTTAGAGCGGCCCAGACTAGAAGACAAGCCCAAACCACCATTAGAAGAATGAAATACGATATGGTCCAAGATGTATCCTTAAAGTTTTGTCTCAACCCTCAGTTGGAATTGTGAGGATTGATCTTCAGTTCAGTCCAGCCAGCAGAAATTGACTGTGCAATTTTCCGTTGTATTTATTGTACAGACTATGTACATTCTAGAAGGTTCCTTTAGTGCTACACTGTGGTACTTTTTGTCCCAGCAATTTGAGGGCGTGCAAATTCCACAAAGTCATCAATAAGAACAGGCCATGCTCCTGGAAAAAACAAAATATGGAAGAAAGGGAAGAAAAAAAAGAAAAATAAGGCTAACATTTTAACAGAATAGCTTCCTCATCAGAGTTAAAGTTTACCGTTCTTGTCTGTTCCCACCGACAAACCCTCCAAAACCCAAGCTTTTGAGTTTCTACCCAAGAGACTCCGTTTATTTTCTCTGATCTCTTATTCCAACATGTGGTTGTTCCTTGAATGACAGAATAATTCTTTTGGCAACACTACGGGGGGCCAGTGAGGTCAAGCAGTAGCATCCCGTGACCCCAGAGGCAGGCTAAGTATGATTGTGCTATGATGCTATGATGCATGGAGAAGCCAACGTGAAAGCAACGTAGAAAGATGCAAATTTTCAAGTATGTTGTGGGACTCTTACAAAAGAAATTAAGAGCAAGTGTCAAACTCTATCCTATTCCATGATAAATGACTGAAATATTTAAAATTGTATGTATACATTTCTCTATACATCTACATGCCAGTCTCCATAGCAGGGAGTTTTCCAATTTTGTGTAAAACCTAACAGAAAACAGCTAGCAGTCACATGCATTTCCCACTTTTTAACAAAGACTATCAATGACAATGAAAACAAAAAGGAAACAAAACAAAACAAAACAAAAAACACCATATTTGATCAGCTTAAACGGTTCTAAGACACTCTGAAAGAGGCCAATGTGCAGGCCAGCAGGTAGCATGGTGGTTTAGGTGCTGGATTCCACATGGTCGACTGCAAGATTTCAAGTTCCAGACCTGGTAGCTTGAGAAACACACTGGGCACATGTGCGTGCATGCCCATAAATCCCGAGAGGAGAATGGAAGAGAAGGGACTGAGGCATGGCGGTGCTTCCTTTCTTTTCCTGTCTGTCTCTCTGTCTCTCTCTGGTTAGTACACACACCCTCTGGCAAGTTCCAAAAAAATAAATAAATAAAAAAGATAAAGAAGCCAGTGTGGGGAGGACAGATGGCACGGAGGTTAAGGCATCTGGACCCCACATGGCCAACTACACCACTGAGTCCCAGACCCACCAGCTTGAAAACCACACCAGGCACATATGTGTCCATGTCCCAAATGGAAGAGAGGGAATTGTGGTGTGGCCATCCCCCTGGGGGGAAGGGGGTGGGGAGATTTCTTTCTCTCTGGTGAGCGCATGTGCCCTACAACAAACTTTAAAAAGAAGAAGAAGAAGAGGCCGATGTTATATAAGATTTATCAGAGAATACCGTTCATTTACTCAATCCCCAAATTCATCCTGGTAGTCTAAGGGGGCCTAAGTAAGTATGCATGGAGAAGCCAATGTAAACCACAGCCATTTCTAGCAAAATCTAAGTACATGCCCCGGTAGTAGGTGGCAGCGTTGTCTTCACACGTGTATGAAGAAGCAGCAGAGCAGTATTCAAGCAGTAAGTATTTATTGAATGCCAATAATACTACTAGGGGAGCTGAAGTACACTTTGAATTAGACAATGCCACTAAACTTGAATTTACAATCAAGCTTACATACAAGACTAACAGATGACAAAAAAATACATACAAATATGTATAAAAGTACATTAAGAAAATAGGTTCCTAACGTAAACAGAATACCTAAAACAAAGATTAAAAGTTATTCATGCCTTTCTAAAAGAGGAATACTGACCTAGAATTTAAAGAAACAGAAGAATGTAGCTGGTAAAGAGAACACAGGCATTTCATTCACTCAGAAGAAGATAAATAAAAGCTTAAAAGAGAAATTCAACTCCCAAAAAAGAGAAGGGGTAAGAAGTTTAGCAGTTGTGATAAAAAGATACAGAGACAGGTTTAAGAAAACAAAACTGGTAGGGCAAAAATGTCCATTACCTTCCTCATCATAATTAGACATGTCATCTGCAATCATTGTACTGAAGTCTAAAAGAAGATTCCAAGTATCTTTCGGTATTGATCGTTTATGATGTTCCTATTTAAAACAAACAAAAAATTCAAATCACTAAAGAGTTGGGGGAAAAAACCCAGGCTAAACGATGCTAAGTACAAGACTGCAAAACATCTGTGTAACGAATCCAGGTAACCAAATTTCTCATTCTATGCCCATTGCCTGCTCGCAGATAAGTTGGTCAGGCTTTAAAATACATTAATATTTTAAACACGACAGAATTTTTGAGAAAACATAGAAACTATAGAAAATGTGAACTTACCAACAAAAATTTATTCCATAAGTCTAAGAATTTAAATCTTCCATTAAGCACTAAGTTCCAGTAAGCAATGGCCATTTCTAAATCTGTAATATTAAAAATAAATGATATATTTCAGTGCTGTGAATAGGTCCCTGCAAAAAAAGAGGAAAAAAAGAACAAAGAAAGACTTGAAAAAGAAAAAAAGTTTGTATTCTGAAAACTTATGTATTAAAGAAAAGGATTTCCTCTAGAGCTAAGTCCAAGGTCTGTCTGTTGCCTCCATGAAACACACGGTTGCTTCAGGGCCTTCAGTGTGAAAATACTGCCACTTACCTGACGGGGCGTGTGGAAGCTGAGTTTAGATAAGCAGTTAAGCATATGCACCTAGTTCAACATCACCCCAGCATCAGTATAATTGTTCAAGTATTCCTACATCCGGGCTTCTCAAGCTCGGGGCATTTGCCGTTTGGGGTGAAGTAATTCCCTGCGGTGGGGGCTCTGCTGAGTGCTTCAGGAAATAGAGCAGCACCCCTCACCTCTATCCACAAGACCCAGCAGCGGCTTCATTCCCTCTCCAGTGGTGACAACCAAAAATGTCCCTAGAGATTCGCCAAGGTCCCCTGGGAGGCCAAGTGTACCCAGCTGAGAATCACCACCGTGCGACTGCAGGTGGGAATGTGAGGTTGCTACTACAACCCTCACTGACCTTATACTCCAGCTGTCGTGGTGCTGGCAAGGAAATCATTACAAATACTGATTCGGGGCTGACCCCAAAGGCCTGTGCAAAAGGGACCCAGATCCCATGTAGCCAACTGTGATTCAAATCCTGACCCTGGTGGCTTGAAAAACACAGCAGACACATGCGCATGCATGCCCCAAACCCTCCAGGACGGAGAAATGGAGAAAGAGGCCCACAGCGGAGCCACGCCCCATACTTTCACGCTCTCTCACGAGCACAGGTGTCCACCGGTTAAAAACACACAAACAGAAACCCGATTCAGGGCCCGACCTCAGGGGTGCGGTCAGGAGCCCAGCAGACAGCAGTACGTGTTTTGTGCACATGCATGCCCAAGACTGTGAGATCTCAATGAGAGACAGGTTTAAGAAAACAAAACTGGTAGGGCAAAAATGTCCATTACCTTCCTCATCATAATTAGACATGTCATCTGCAATCATTGTACTGAAGTCTAAAAGAAGATTCCAAGTATCTTTCGGTATTGATCGTTTATGATGTTCCTATTTAAAACAAACAAAAAATTCAAATCACTAAAGAGTTGGGGGAAAAAACCCAGGCTAAACGATGCTAAGTACAAGACTGCAAAACATCTGTGTAACGAATCCAGGTAACCAAATTTCTCATTCTATGCCCATTGCCTGCTCGCAGATAAGTTGGTCAGGCTTTAAAATACATTAATATTTTAAACACGACAGAATTTTTGAGAAAACATAGAAACTATAGAAAATGTGAACTTACCAACAAAAATTTATTCCATAAGTCTAAGAATTTAAATCTTCCATTAAGCACTAAGTTCCAGTAAGCAATGGCCATTTCTAAATCTGTAATATTAAAAATAAATGATATATTTCAGTGCTGTGAATAGGTCCCTGCAAAAAAAGAGGAAAAAAAGAACAAAGAAAGACTTGAAAAAGAAAAAAAGTTTGTATTCTGAAAACTTATGTATTAAAGAAAAGGATTTCCTCTAGAGCTAAGTCCAAGGTCTGTCTGTTGCCTCCATGAAACACACGGTTGCTTCAGGGCCTTCAGTGTGAAAATACTGCCACTTACCTGACGGGGCGTGTGGAAGCTGAGTTTAGATAAGCAGTTAAGCATATGCACCTAGTTCAACATCACCCCAGCATCAGTATAATTGTTCAAGTATTCCTACATCCGGGCTTCTCAAGCTTGGGGCCTTTGCCGTTTGGGGTGAAGTAATTCCCTGCGGTGGGGGCTCTGCTGAGTGCTTTAGGAAATAGAGCAGCACCCCTCACCTCTATCCACAAGACCCAGCAGCGGCTTCATTCCCTCTCCAGTGGTGACAACCAAAAATGTCCCTAGAGATTCGCCAAGGTCCCCTGGGAGGCCAAGTGTACCCAGCTGAGAATCACCACCGTGCGACTGCAGGTGGGAATGTGAGGTTGCTACTACAACCCTCACTGACCTTATACTCCAGCTGTCGTGGTGCTGGCAAGGAAATCATTACAAATACTGATTCGGGGCTGACCCCAAAGGCCTGTGCAAAAGGGACCCAGATCCCATGTAGCCAACTGTGATTCAAATCCTGACCCTGGTGGCTTGAAAAACACAGCAGACACATGCGCATGCATGCCCCACACCCTCCAGGACGGAGAAATGGAGAAAGAGGCCCACAGCGGAGCCACGCCCCATACTCTCACGCTCTCTCACGAGCACAGGTGTCCACCGGTTAAAACACACAAACAGAAACCCGATTCAGGGCCCGACCTCAGGGGTGCGGTCAGGAGCCCAGCAGACAGCAGTACGTGTTTTGTGCACATGCATGCCCAAGACCGTGAGATCTCAATGAGGGCTGGGGGAGGGGTTCGGGGTGTTACGAGACCCTGTCAAGGGTGCTGTTCTCTCTCATGTGCACACACGTACTCTATCATGAATAAAATAAACTTTACAAACATTTTAATACATAAAAAAAGAATGATGTAGGCCCAGCCTCCGTGGCACAGGCACTGGGCCTTGGAGAAGTCACGTGGGAATGCATAGATGCGTGATCTTAGCTGGCTGGAAAGGGAGGGCAAGAGAGTAAGACCCCGTGACCCAGTCAGTGGCAAATCTCCTCCCTCACTCTCTTTCGTGAAAGAAAATGACTCAAAAAAAAAATAATCACTGATTTAAATATTGTCAGGCCAGTGGCTGGGGTGGAACTGGCCCACGTGGCTGACTATGGTTTGAGTCCTGGGGCTGGCGGCTTGCTTTCTCACTCCACCCCGCTGCCTTTGGTGAGCACACATGCCCTATACTAAATTTAAAATAATAAATATAATAAATAATTCTTTAAAAATAAATAAATAAAATTAATGCTAAACTAAGACTTCGTCCCTTGGAGAGAGATTTTTTGCTATAGGGCACATGAATTCTCTGGAAAGACAGAGTGCAAGTGAGGCATCGGCTCCCAGAGAGGATGGCCAGAGTGCAACCCCTTCTCCTCCGTTTTCCTCTCAGGATTTTGGGTATGCATGTACACACATCTGTTGTGAGCTTCAAGCTGCAGGCTCTGGGATTTGAACTGCAGTCGCCATGTGGGAGTCTGGCACCTTAATCACTATGCCAACTGCGGGCCCCAAAACTAGGATTTTTCAAAAGAATTATTTATTTAATTTTAATTATTATCATGTTTTTATTTGTCCAGAGAAAGAGAGGGGGAAAGTGAAAAAGCAAGTTACCAGGTATAGGACTTAAACCGTGGTTAGCCATGCAGAGAGTCCAGTACCTTAACTACCACACCACCTACCGGCCCTAAGATCTTTTTTAAAGTTAGCCAAAGATGACCTAAAATGGCATTTGGAGGCCAGCAAGTGCATGGTGGTTAAGGTGCTGGACTCCCACAGATTGAGTCCTAGACCCCATGACTTAAAAATCATACCAGGTGGGACCAGCAGACGGTGTAATGGCTATGTTGCTGGACTCCCACGTAGTTGACCGCAGTTTGAGTCCCGGACCCGGCTGCTTAAAACTTACTCCAGGCGTGTGTGCGTGCGTGTCCAAGATCCCAAGAAGAGACTGGAAGAGAAGGGACTGTGGCGTGGCCATCCCCTTGGGGGGTAATTTCTCCCTTTCTGTCTTGTCTCTCTGGAGAGTGCATGTACTCTACAGCAAAAATCTCTCTAAAAAGAAAAAAAAGGCAAAGAAAAATACTCATACCAGGTGTTTGTATGTGTGACCCCAAAATTCCAAGAGGAGAACTGAGGAGAGGAGATTCCAGCGTGACCATCCCTACAGGAAGGCAACTTCTCACTTTCTCTCTCTGTCTCTCCGATGAGTGTACCCACCTATGGCAAAAACCTTAAAAAAAGAAAAGAAAAAAAGAGGGGGCTTTTGATTTGGGCATTTAAGAGAAAGGTAAAAAAAAAAAAAGTGTTATGGGGCCAGCTCCATGGCCTGGTAGTGAAGGCACCCAGGCTGCCATGGCTGATCCCACAGTTCAGGTTCCAGACCTGGTGGCGTGAGAAACACACCAGGCATTGGTACATGCTCAAACTCCCAAGGAGACAGAGAGATGGAGAAGAAATTGTGGCGTGACCATTCCCTGTGGTGAGGTGCTTTCTCTGTCTCCCTGTCTCTGTCTCTATCTGACCAGCACATTGGCCCTCTGGCAAATTTCTTCTTTAAGGTTTTTGTCATAGGGGATGTGTGCTCACTGGAGAATGAGAAATCATCCCAAGGGGATGGCCATGCCACAATTCCTTTTCCTCCTGGGATTTTAGGCATGCATGCACACGTGGCCGGCGTGATCTTCAAGCTGCCGGGTCTGGGACCTGAATCACAGTTGGCCACGTGGAAGTCCAGCATCTTAACCACCATGCCACCTGCTGGCCCCGCCTCTGGCAGAATGAAAAATGAAAAAAGGCATTATCTCCAGGGCCAGTCCCAGACTTGAAAGAAAGCACAGAGCACATGTGATACAGTGGAGCCCGGGGCCCTGACTGGAGGGAGGCGTGCAGGAAGGGGGTTATGGCACGGCCTTGCCCACTGGGGTGCTTTCTTTCTCGTCCTCTCTGGTAAGCACATGTCACCTCTGGCAGGAAGTAAAAATTTACAAAGAAGAAATAACGCCACAAAGAACAAAGAACTATACCTGTCACTTAACATAGAGGAATAACTATGATTTATATCAGCGAACAAAAGCAGTTAAGAAAATATCTAGCTTTTGTGAGTGAATTTACATCTCCAGGAAAAAAATTATATTCCAAGTAACCTAAAAGAACCTTTAGATGCCATCTCAAAGCCACTCTTGATAATCTGAGGAATCATAGAAGACTATGGGAGCCACGGTGGGCAAATGCTCCCCCAATATTTAAAAAACAATAAAAAAGGAGTAAACTTGGTGCTGATTCACAGACAAAAACAGCTAAGTCATAAAAAATCAATTATACATCACAATCGCGGGGCCATTGGGAGCATATTGGTTAAGGCACTGGACTCCACATGGCAGACTGCAATTCAAGTCCTGACCAGGCAGCTTGAAAATCACACTGGACGCGTGTGTGCGTGCTCCAAATCTCAAGAGGAGAATGGAGGAGAAGGGGGTGCAGCGGGGCCATCCCCCTAGGGGGTGATTTCTCACATTCCCTCTCACTGTCTCTGTCTGTCTCTCTCTGCCAAGTGCCCAAGCCCTACAGCAATTAATAAATCAATCAATCGATAAATTTACAATTGCTAGAAACCTACAAGGGTCCATGAAGAATAAGCAATACAGGGGACAAGTAGGTAACATGGTGGTTAAGGCGCTGAGCACTCCCACACAGCTGACCACGGTTCAAGTCCTGGAACCGGCTTGCTCTCTCTCTCTCTGTCTGGCCAAATTAGAATAAATCAATGAATAAATAAAATTAAATAAATAATTACTTAAAAAAAAGTAAACAACACAGAACTAATCTCACTATTTTTTAATGAGAATTCTTAGAATGGTAGAAGGTATGCAATACCTCTCTAATGGTATAGAAATTTCTCTCTCATACCAAGAGCAATGGAAACTAAGACAATGAATACTTAACTGGTTAAATAATCATCACTGTTAATTAAGAGAGTAAGATTGAGCTGGAGGAAAGACATCTCTCCAGGAACATTACTAAATAATCCCACTCTGTTCAACAACCTCCCTAGTGTCGTGGGCAAAGATACGCTAAGCAAGGTTACCCCAACTGCAGAGGAAAGCAAAGGTGAAGGATGGCTAGTACAGTGGATTACTAATGCATTAAAGCAGCCTGGCTGGGCAGTGGGATCCCACGCAGCCGATTTTGAGGTTCGAGTCCTGGAGCTGGTGGCTTGAAAACACCCCAGGCACGTGTGTATGCATGACCAAAGAAAGTTCCAAGAAGAGAAGGGAGAAGGGACTGTGAAATGGCCATCCTCTCTGGAGGGTGATTTCTCCTTTTCCCTCTGTCCAGCTAGCACATGCACAAAAATGTCCATGTGAAAACTCTATCAGGGTTGTTCATCTAGACTCAATCCAGCCATATCCTGAACCTTCATCTTATCACCTCAAGCAGTTTTGACCTTTAAGTTTTTAATTTTTTTTTTTTTTAGATTTTTGCCGCAGGGCACACGTGCTTGTCAGAGAGAGAGAAAGCGAGAAATTACCCCCTGGGGGGGACAGCCATACCACAATCCCTTCTCCTCCAGTCTCCTCTCAGGACTTTAAGCACACATGCACGTGCACCTGGTGTGAGTTTTAAGCCACCAGGTCCAGGCCTTGAACTGCAGTCGACTACGTGGGAGTCCAGCAACATAACCATTACACTATCTGCTGGTCCTTTTAAGTTTTAAACTCCAACATCTAACCTATAAGGAGACTACAAAAAGTTCA